TAAATATTGCAATTCACCATATAATTTAGATAAACAATTTTCCGAAGCAAGTTTTAATTCTTTAAATTAAGTAAATTTTATGGAGAATTTTTTGAGTTTTCATAATTTTTAAAATTATTAACATCTAAAAGTGATAAAAATTCTAAAGATTTTATGTCTGAAAATCTGTCAATATAATTATAATTAAATATAGCTTTGTAAAGAAACATACATAAAAATAACATTGAATATTCTTTACTTTTTAAGATTTAAAAAGTAAAGAATAATCAAATAGCTCCCTACCAGTGGCTAATGAATCAGTGGAAGTGTTATAGGATATTTTGGTGTGTAGCATCCACCAGCTAAACTGCCAGAGGTAAAGCACATGGCGATTGCCTGTAATCTGGCTGCTTTAGACCATTCAGATATTTTCTCCATGGAAGCTATCCCCTATTTGACAATACTGTGCTTCCATTGGAAGTATGCATATACAAATTTATATTCAAATATACAATAGCAATCTTATCATTGTTTTTCACGTTTATAGAAATTTGTAATAAAATATGTAATGAGGTTATAATAAAATATTATTTTTAAGTAATTCAAAGTACATTAAAATATGAAAATAATTGCACAATATGAATTTATATTTTAGAAAATACAAGGGAAGCAGTACTTCCACAGCTGCTGTGGACATCACGTCACTGCTTTGATGTATTTGCTGAGCTTTGCTTTTTCAACCTGGTTCATTGTTTTTTTTTTTACACGATCACATAAAAGCAATTATTCTTGCATTTTTACAAGATATTTTTATTTAAACAAGTCTTATGTCGTCTTTCAGATGTTAAGGTTAGCAATTTCAATCACATGAGGGGCAATCACAAGCTGTCTAATGGATTACTTTTCAAATATTAATAGTAGACTGGTATTAATTAGTAATTGTTGACCATCCTCTCTCCCGGGAGGAGGACAACTATCACTTTTGGTCGAATTAACTTTAACCTCCATCTGCAACAGTCCCTTCTTCCTATCAAACCCACTGGTATGGTGCATTCAAATAGGAAAATCCTCCATCTGCAACAGTACCTTCTTCCTATCAAACCCACTGGTATGGTGCATTCAAATATGAAAATTACATAAATCATATTTTGTGCAGACTGGTAATCTCGTATTATGTAATTTTCCAGGGTGCCAAGTTTAAATATTTGGTCCATTTTTTGCAGAATTTGATTTGTTGGCAGAACATCATTTGATATTTGGCTGTGAATGAAACAGTTTATTAGTGCTAACATTAGAAAAAAAAATTTAAGATATGATATTTTCAATTGGTGTCTACTGGTGGGACTAATAAAATTGTGCCATTTCTTACAATCAGAGTATCACGATAAACAGGACAATAGTAGGCTGAAATAACCAAATTGTATATATGATTTTTTATTTTAATATTTGTTATATCATTGTAGTTATATAAATCAAATAATATAATATAATATAACAGAAGGGTTAGAATTATGAAATAATCTAATAATGTTTGTACTTATTTTTTGCCCAGCTTACCTGCTAGTTTCCAACTAAAGCAGTTTTGAAAAAAGTAATGTAACTGAACGTAACTAATTTTTTTAATCATTTGCATAGATAAAAAGTAATAAAAAATTCCACATATTCTTCTAAAACTTAATACAATATTAGAATTATGAAACTTGCACTGTAAGATAGACAAGTGTCTATTTTCTAGCAAAACAGTTTGAGATTGTGTACTGTACTTGATTGCCTCTTGTTCTTGTTTTCATTTTGTTGGAAGTAAGCATAAGATTGATTCAGAGAACTAATCTCATGGGAATACAACTAAGATACATTATACTGGCTTTATTGATTTTGAAGGATGTGCATTATGGATCATATGTCCCTCATCAGCCCTTTCTTTGTTCCACATCAATCTGATTTAAAGCATTACAAATTTTAGGTTAAGAGTATGAGTGTACTGTACGTAACATTATAATGAATACAATATGACCCGAACGGTAGAAGTCTTGTGTGTTACAGTTATACTTGTGACAACTGGATTTTTGTAACAAGGTTTGTATTTTCTCATATAAAATGGAAATATAATCTAATTTCTTGTATGTTAACCGAGTTTGTGTTATTGTTTGTTGATTTGTCTTTTTATTTAACCATCTGCTAATTGTTTTGTTAGAATAATCATTTAATTGAAAATATGGTAGACACAGTTTGTTTCTTCATTTTGGGTTGTCGTATCAGTAGTATGTAATTTAATTTAGTTATATGTGTATCAAAACTATTTTTTTCATATATGTGAGTGCATTCAAAGAAAAGTTTGTGACCTTACATCACGTGGTTTTACATATTTAGTGAATGCTAGTGAATTAAGAGATCTTTTGTCGTATCTAAAAAATTTAAGACACCATTGTTTTCTAATTCCAAAGTTTGTTCTTATGAATATTATTTGTGGATTAGTTAAATTTTTATTATAAATGAGGAAGCAGTCATCAACATATCAGTTATAAAATGTGATTCTGCAAAGATTTTTAATCAAGCATAGTTCTGCTAGTTTAGAGTTTGTGCAAGAGCCGATAAAGATACCTTCTGACTGGCTAAAAATTTACTGTTACAAATAAAATAATTATTAACTAAAACAAATTCAACTATTTGATATTTGAATTATCCAGTTATCAATGTAAGTTTTTAAGGGTATTAATTATAAGATCGTTCAGTACTGGATACGTTTTAGATATTCAAGCTTAAAAAATATACCATAGCTAACAAATTGTTAAGTTTATCAATGAATTGGTTAATATTTATAATGCTATTTGGAGAAATATTAGTCTCAAAATTTAGGAGAAATTTATCTATTATAGAAAAGAAATTATTGCCATAAATGCAAAGGTTAAAAAGTTCTTATGAATTTGTTAATCGACTGTCAAAATGGTGGGCAAGGTGAGGCATTCGTCCATTTTAGGTATCTTGTGAACATCGGCCGCTTTCACAGAATAACAGGTAGACAGAAGACAAAACTACCAGAGGAATTGCTGATTCTTCCTGGCAACCTCAACAACCTGATCCACAAGCTATTTCTCATTAACGTGTAGTATTACTCCTTCCAACACTTCTTATGCCACAGGTATTTGTGAATCTGTTCAATTAATTTTATAAGAAACAAAGTTTAAAATTTGTAAGCTTTTAACATTTCTGCACATTGACAAATGTTTTCTTACTTAATTTATGGTTCTACATTTCTCCAGAGGGAGAGTATTCAAGTGCATTTGAAGGATTTTCACTGAACATAAATGAGGTGACAAAAGGAAAAAGAATTTGGGTCACAAAATGTATAATTAGTCAATGTCACAACAGCCATTGTAGTAAAATTAATAGTAATAGTATTATCTGGAAACATTTTCCTATAGTTCTAATAGTGATTTTGCACTCCCTAACATTAAAAGTTTAGGTTTGTAATTTAATACAGTACATATGTACTATCCCTCTCGTTTTGACAAAGTGACAAATTGTGCATTCCAAAAAAAGTAGCTGTCATAGAGATGTGTCTGATGCAAGATCTATATAAGAAGGTCAGGACACACTCCCATGATTCAACACAACAACGGCCATTTTGGGACTAATCTATAGACTACACTCCACACATAATAATAAGACTCACGCAGGAACTATTACATATATAAGTACTCAAAACTTTAAACAACGGGTTATCGTGTGGCACCAAATTGTAAAAGTAAATCTACAGACGTTTGATTGTTTAGATTTCCCACAAATAAGTGGAGGAAAGCAAAATGTAGCTTAGACATCAACAGATGGTTCATGATGCAGTTCAAAGAGTGTAAAGTTTGTAACAAGTGGTTTAAATGAGTGGATACTCTTCGCATCCATGAATGAACTATACATGGAAATTTATAAATGATATTGGCAATCTAGATAGAAAAGTGAAAAAATTACATTAATTATTTTATCAGATATAAAACAAAACATTTGTTTTAATATGACCATATTGTATTTAAAAATAAAATGATGATTGTATTGACTTATACTCTCAATATTTATTAATAAAAAATTGCAAAAAATTTAGTTTAATGTAAATTTTATTTAAACTGAATTATTAGAATTTTTATTTTAAAAGAAGTGATGGAAATCTAAATATATCTAATTCTTATAATCTAGAGATTTTATAATATGTAATTTTATTTATATTTAATTTTTTTCATTTGCTTAGCAATAATTAGAGGTATTTCTTGTTTGTCAAAGATAACAGGCAAAGTGTATGGTTTTTTTTTGGTACATCACTATCAGTAGAACCTATTTCTTAAGCTTCTAGCTTGAAAGCCTATTTATTTCTGGCAGTTTTTCCTTTAAATGCAATAGTACTCTAAGAGTCATTATATAGTTAACTATTTTAGTACATTTACTCTCTACGATGAATAATTCAACTCTTGAATGATATTGTATTTAAATTACCAACATTCTGTCATTCTGTTTGTGAAGTAGTAATCATTTAAATAAACAAAAGAAACATCTATTCTACATCAGAGTTGAAGCTTTCAACAGTAAAGTAATATTCATATACAAATTCAAATTATTAAATTTCAATGCAATGTTTTCTATTTAACAGTAGTTGGAGGGAAGGAAAATACAACATCCTATTGTAGTTCCATACGAAGCAGCTCATTTCTGGAGTGCCGTATCATTAAAAAACAGTTCTGGATATCTTAAATTTGTTTTCTTCATTAAAAAATCAATTAGAATATATATTTCTAAAAAAATGTTTCTTCTTAAATCACTATTTAGTTGAAAACAATACAATATATAAATCATATTGCTATAAAAAAATAAATATCAATTACTTTTTTGGTACTGCCTTATCTAAGTTAGTTTTAAACTTGCTTCACTCCTACTTTTTTTTAAAAAAAAAGTATTAATAAACTAAGGCTTGTTTTTCTCACTTAAAAGAAAAGCTAGGCAGTTCTTGGTATACAATTGCTATTTATCTCTTTCAGTTCTCCGTTATGTTGCAAAGTGAAGAAATATTAAAAGAAGAATGCTGTATTAAGTCAAAACCGAGCATAATGACGGTCACTTATACAAAACATCATGAATTCTGTTTATTTCTAGATCATACACAGATGATCTTACCTATACCCCTGACCATCACCCCTGCATTTTCTAGTGAAGTCGGTAAGTATCGGCAAAGTACACAACGAAAGACTATTTACAGAACTAAAATCTGTCTTTTATAGTATCATTACAGTGGAAACTCCATTTTGAATTTGTGACCACCACGTCCCAGATTCCGGACGTGCTACCCTCCTCTTCGCCGTCCGAGAGCGTCATGTGGCAGGGTCCTTCCTCGCTGGACGTTCAGACCATGGTGTGGGACCTTCCGGTTATGGTATATCCAACTCATCCAGTTCACATAGCTCAGGGCCTCCCCATTAAGTGTGAAAATAGTTTAATTATTACTTAATTGTAAATTTTTAAAATAACCCCTCTTATATTCAATAAAGTTTATTTGTCAATATACAAATTAAAAATGGTTAAAATAATTTAAGAAAAAACTTGTACAAAAAGTTACTCGTGTGCCGTTTAAAATTCCAAAGCTAATCTTATAACTTAGATCTTTGTTTTACTTGGGAATTTGCTAATCACGGTTTGAAGACGAACGCTTCTCACTCGTCGTCGCCTAATAAACGCCTATTGGGATTGAATACTCTGAACAAGTCCTCTTCGAGGACCAGATCCGTGTCAAAGATGATTTCGTCTGCTAGAATTTTTGGCACCTACCAGAAAAGAAGCCAAACTAAACATCATGTGTTTAGAAAAGAAAAAAACAAAATTCAACATGCAGCAGTTTTATTTCAGTATCAAAATAAAGCGGTTATTCTCAAATATATGACAATATCAAATATAGATATATAAATCAGTACAAAAATGTGCTGTGTATGTTTACAAAATACGGGGGTCATAACTATTTTTTCATACGTAAAAAGTCACAGGTACACGATAAGTTCAAAAGACCTTATTTCTCTTGCGTTACCTCCGAAGTCGTGACGTTAGAGGTACTATCCTTGCCGGAGACCTACAAGTCAGGAACAAAATTAAACATGAGCATTTCTTCAATTAAAAAAATTGATAATAAAGGGAAGAGTTAAGTTTTCAAAAAAAGAAAATATTCCAAAGCAGCAAGAAAAGCAGCACATTTCTGTTGAAAATTTTTCAAAGATAAAGTACAGAAACTATTATATAGGAACAGAAAATGTATTTAAGAAAATTTAACTTACCAACCAAGTTAAGGGCTGAGAGCGAAGAATAGTTTCAAAATAACTACCAAATGTTTCTTCGATAAACCTCAAATTCTGTTGTACTTGTTTCAACATAACACTTGTAAGATCGTCCAGGCGGGTTGTCTATTAAATAATATTTAAGAAAAGAAAATTTAAGATGTATTTACAATAAAAAAAAAATTGTAAAAAACAAAAATAAGATAAAATAAATATGTAAATTTTTATTTTAAAAAAATTAACCCTAAGTGACTAGTATTACTAAAAACACTATTAAGGGGATGTTTTGGGAGAAAGTAAAATTTACCTTGGCAAACTGGTTATATAAGTCTACAGAATAATCACGAGTAATAGAAAGACGTTGCTGTACGTTAGTTGGGAGCAATTGTACAATAGATGTTGTATTTGTGTAAGTTTTTACCATCTGCTTTGTTACTTGTCTTGCAACTGAAAGTATTTGTTGTTCCCAGTTCTGAAATATTTTTGAAAATGAAATGAATTTATGCAACATGAATATAAAATACACATTCAATAAAAAAGAATTAGTGTATTATTAACTAGGAGAAATTTTAAAAAGACTTAGAATACACACTTTTTCACTGTTAGCACTTTGGTCTTCATTCTTGTTTAGTTCATTCCAGAGCCAAGTTGCACGATTTTGAACAGTTCCCAATGTTGCAGCAACATCTAAATTATCTTTTGCATATTTGATCTTAAAAAAATAAAAAATAAATCAACAACAATTTTAATTAGTGTTGAATTTAAAATAATGAACATTTTTTTTTGAATTACCAAATCAATGGTATGATTGAGCTTGCCAATAGACTCTTGACTACGTTTCTGCAGATTGTGGAGATTGATCATTGCATGTTTGTATATGCGTCGTCTCATTTTGTTAGACAGCCTCCCGACTTTATTGGCAACTGCTTCATCCTTGAGGGGTGTACTATTTTCCTCTGAAAAATGTAAAAGAAAAAAAAAGGATTATAATATAATGTATTATATTATACCTTGAGAGAGGGAGCAAATTTTACAAACTTTCGTCTTCTATGGCAGGAAGGTAATAATCCACACAACTTTCTGTCAAAGTGATTGCACCATCTACAGATTTAACCAGTTGAAGCCCGTAAGGAGTATTCAACAGTGTGACGGCTTTGCCAATTCCAAAATCTTTGGCAGCCTTCACCTTTTAATTTAAAAAAAAAATGAACTTTTCAATCAAATCATTTATTAGTCAAAATATTAAAAAAAAATGATACAGACTCTTTCTGTTCCATAAGTTTTAAGTCCTTCATATTTTTCTACTCCACTCTGTAGTGTTGAAGAATAAAGTTTCTTTGTTTCACCAATTATCTACATGATAAATAATATACACACAATTTTTTTTTTATTAAAACAAAATAAAGATAATGCCACATTTTACAAAGTTTCATTCTTTGTTTTTGATCAAACTAAGAAAATGAGGTATTGTCAACCTTCTGTTAAGCACTCCTCTGAAAGTAAAGCCAAGCACAAGTAATTGATAAATACCCTTTCTGACTTCCTTGCACATTGCATGTTGTTATAATACAACAATTTTATTCATTAAAAAGTAAACTATCAATATACAAACATCATTTTGTATAAAAATCTCACTTACTAAACCTTTATTGTCCGATACTTGTAAACTATTCGTAAAAACAAATGATTTCGGCCTCAGACGAGGTCTTCTTCAGGTTAAAATAATTGGATTCCATTCTTCGAATGAACGTTTAGTTTTAAAATATAAATCAAATTCATGCATGTATTACGTATTGTCATAAGTGCAATTTTATCAGAATACCGGTATTCAGATTAGAAGATTTTTGTTAAAAATCTTTTTTAATAACAAAATTACCCTTAATTATAGGATAAATTTTGGCAACTACAATTCAGAAACTTTGGATGTCTTTTCTGACTACAAGGTTTCATGATTAAGAAATGTTCTGAGTAACTAAATCTTAGACATTACAAATAAATAACTGTTAGAGTAAAAAAACTGAACACAGTCATTTTAGTTTGGCAAACATTACAGGTAAAAGGAATGAATGAGATCACAAAGGAATCAGTTATTTCAACTTAAAAATCAACTAGACAATAATAAAACTTAAAGGTTTTGGTCAGAATTATTGCAGGTGAAATTCAAATGCTAAAGACAGATGTATTTAGATATTCATTAACATATCTGTACTAAGAGATACCGCACTACTACCTACTACAGCGAGTTATACCTGATTTATAGTATAGAACTAAAAAATATTCAGATATGATACAAATAAAAAAAATTAGAAGTTTGGATGCAAGTATCAAAAGAGTATAGCTACACATTTATCCACTGCAAACTATCACAATGATCTCGCACATACTGATGTGTTCCAGGTCTGATGCTAGACAGGAGGACAGACTCATAGCTCTATTTCACTTTCCAGAGAAGATGGGAGGGGGAAAAAGATTGTATTCCAAATTTTTTACTTTTAAGGTCATTCATTTTAACTTTCTGCCAGGTGCCATAGCATATGTGGGACACAAAAGTTTGCAGTATATCAATTTGAAGTGAACTTGGAATAAGATGAAGAAGTCTCAATCTTATTCCATGTTCACACTTAGTAGAATATTTTAAATATAAAATGGTTTCTATTAGGGTTTCTCATTTCCCGGTCTTTTGCTTGTCCCAGGATCCCGGGATAAAAGTGAACTGTTTCCCGGGAAATCCCGGGATAGAATTAATTATTTTTAAGGTATACAAAATATCTTGAAATCAAATGATATAATTATTTTCCATTTTTTAAAGTAATTTTTAAAGTTCTGTAACCTCCAAAATCATATTAATATTGTTGTGTAAGGTCTATAGGCCTATAATAAAAATTACCTTTAAATAACGTAGAAATTTTCACAAATAGAAAAAAATTAATTAAAGTTTGCTGGAAACTGCATACAACAACAACAAAAAAAAATTTTTTGAATTGAGTTAAAAATTAAAAAAAAGCAACTTCTAATTTAGAAGGTAATTTTCGTTTTTTAAATAAAATATAATACAAAATATTGCAAACTTTTATAAGATTTTAAAAAGCAAAGATGGTCAATACTCCGATAACTCACTCTAATTCTTATTTTAGTAATGAAAAGTCTTGCCACCGAGAATGCCCTTTCCGATTCAATTGATGTGATTGGAATAGTGTTTAATGCATTTAAGAGAAGACAGATATTATGTGTTTTTTCACCTGTAGCCTGGAAGCTTTCGAGTTCGTTTTCGAGATTGTAGTACTTCTTTCGCTCTCTAGTATTCTTGATTTGTCTACCTTGGCTGCTTTAATAGCGGCATCAAGCTTAGAGCTCGATAATTCGGCAATTCATTTGGCTTTAATAATCAGGTTTATGAAGAAAAACTTCATACTTGCAGACTTTGTACTCGTTTGTATCCTTGCCCAATTTGCACAATCTGGCGTCAGGCATTTATTGAAGCTACTGGGCATGGTTAAAACTCAAGACAGCGTAAGCACAATTATTCCAGATATTACAGGTTCCGACAAGTAAAGAATTTTTATAGTCCTGCCACAAATAAGCTATATATTGATTATTGACCATTTGTGACATGCTATAACGAGCAAAAATTTAAAAAAAAACTAACAGGTAGGTTTAAAATTAATAAATACAAATGTATTCGGACAGTGAATGAGTTAATTATGCTTTCTATTTGCAAAATTCCTCAACCTTAACACAAAAATAAGAAAAAAAGTGAATTTTTAAGAAATTTGCGGGATTTCCCGCGATAAGAAAAATTTCCCGGGTTAAAAAAACAACCGGGATACCATTTGAGAAACCCTAGTTTCTATATTTTCTTTGTTTTGTTACTTAAATTTTTTATCGATTTATTTAATGTAACATTGCATTTATCTCAACAGGGACTAAAACAAAAATAATTTCAAAATTCATTGCACCTGTAAATACAAGACAAAAAAAATCTACGAAGAAAAAAAAAATCATTCTAAAAAGTCAGTCTTGTCTAAGAATTGATTGCAAGGTACAGCAAATTGGTTTCACTCACCTCATCTGGAGATTTAGTTATTATTGGAGCAGTCTTTTCAAGTCTGTTCAGTCCCTCAAGAGCCAATTCGTCCACAGCGTGCACTGTGGAAAGAACGAAATATAAAAGTTTTAAAAATTTTTCAAAATGTAGGTTTATTTAATAATAAAAATCATTTTGCCAGTCACCATCTTGCTGTGGTGAGAGAGCTCAATAATTCTGATGAACAACAGTTACATTGGCTGGAGCAACTATTTCTGGTAGGGTCACACCTGCCAGTGAGGTCTGGGGAGAAATGAAGCTAAGAGTGACTTGTGAAAAGTGAACCCACATCTGTGAAGATTATCACTGTGGTGATAACATGATCCAAGTGTAATACCATCTCCACATCGCCCAGGTTAGCAAAGTAAGGCAGGTAAATCACACCAACAGATGAAAGGGGACATCAGAAATGAAGTTTATCATCCATACTTCACCATCACAAAACTCAAAACAGACATGACAGTGTACAGACAACAGTTACATCACTTGTTTTCACAACATTATCCTAATCTCAGTCACTGTACAAAGGATTGTTGATCAAAACAGAACTATACATAACATCCTTATACCACAGACAACACTAGAACATACTAAAACAACAAATTGCAGAACAATTACACCAATAAACAAATACTCCCAACAATAATCACATTATCCATCAGAATCATCAAGATGGATGCATTGACAATATTGTTCCTACAACCACTATTTTCACTGATGCTGACAGTATTAACCCTTCTTCACTACCTGAAATAGAGTATGAATTAAATCTGAATCTCTCTTCTTTTCCAAGAAGCACTCACTAAATTTACAGGCACTGACCCTGCGTAATGGTCATGCAATCCAAAAATCAACACTTCTAAACTAGTAGGGAAATCTCTATACTAAGTGAACACTCAACTTATTATCAGATTGCACTAATTCTATTTATATACTCTCAGACATCCACACATTCTGGTGCAGTCACAGTAGTAACCTATCATGGACTAAAACTACATCCATGGATAGAAATGCACAAAACTGTTCAGAAGACTACCTGGCAAAGATGAATAGAAACAAATACATAATATTAGCAGCTAGGCAGGCTGACAATATACTAATAACAAAACATCACCTAAATTAATGAAACCAGGAACTAACTAAACACTTAACTCATTATCAACAATCTACAAGAAATGCCAAAATTTTCTCACTACATGAAACCATAAAAACACCAAACAAAGACCATGCACAGTACAGACCAATTACATGTCTTTCAATGCTTTACAAGATTCTTACTTCTTGCATTGAAAACAAAATATACAATCATACGATGAACACGACATTCCCACAGAACAAAAAGGCTGTCATAAAAATCAGAAAAGGTTGAAAAACAACTATTCATGGACTCTTATCCTATGGAAAGTTCATAAGCAACACAAACACATGGCATACATTGATTATAGGAAAACATTCAGTGTCCCACACATGTGCCAAACACACTTTGCATCTACAAAATTTATCCCAACTCATTAGTTTCCTTGGTTTTACCATGCTTCACTGGAGAACAGCATTACATCTTACCCTCCACAATACTCACATAAAAACAAAAAAGATACATCAAGCAAAGAATTTTTCAAGTGGATTCCTTGGTTCTGCCTTGCACTTAACCCTTTATCTAATCTAACGTATTGAACAAACCAATATGGTTACAGTATCAGACAACAAAACAACACTGTTCACATTATCATCATACCTCATATACTGTACATAGACAATATCAAACTTTATGCAATATCAGCATCATCTCTTACAAACTACACATACACTCCAGATATATAAAATGGAGTTTGGTCTAGACCAGTGTTTCTCAACTTCTAACGAATCGTCGCCCCTTCAATATAATTGTTACATAGTATCACCCTTTCCATTTTGAGAACAATTTTGTTGGGTTTGTAAAAAATTAAACTAATAATTATAATTATCAAGTAAATATTTATTTACTCAGAATACATATTAGATTTTGATATAATTAACAAAATTAAAATTAAGCATTATTTGCTGTAAATCCCCGCTGCAAGCTTCAAAATTCCGATGTCAAGGGCCCAAATTCGTATTGCATTGAATAGACTAGTCACTAGTATAATGTTTTACTATATTGCAAAAAATTGTTTTTCGCCCCCAAAATGAAAATTGTTACTAATCACCCCCAATATGGAAAAATGCCCACATGGGGGCGATATCGCCCTAGTTGAGAAACACTGGTGTGGACAAATGCAAAAACACTCTGAAGAAGAAAGGGGACTTTGTATTCAGAAGTGGACAAATTGAGTCCATGGAAGAGGACTAGTTTTACAAATATTTAGGATTTCACAGGCCAAACTTAAACATACACAGATTAAACAAAGATTAACATTTTAATACTAGAACAGATTACTATGCAGTACTAAAAACATGCCTAAATACAAAACATTCTATTAAACTATTAATAGATATGCTGTACTCACTTATTCTTTTGGGTTATACACTGGACATGCACAGATCTCGAGCAATGCCAAAGGAAAACAAGATGACCACTTACTAAGAATAAACAATATATCATCTGAAATCATCCATGGAGAGACTAACTCTTCCTCGTAAATGTGACTGTGGCCCAACTAATAGTTAATCTGCACTACAAAAATTATGACAGTGTGGGAGTTTTTCCACAAAAAACATCAAGATTACATAAAGCTATAATTCTAACTCTGACAGTCAGTAACCACACACCTTTAAACTTACACTCAGAGTATCTGGACATAGTGGTGACTGTTGTCTGTGTTGAGCTAAGCAGTCACAAGCCCAAAAAGCACTTCATGACAAGCATGCCTACGACCCAGCTCAAGATCAAGACAGCACAAAACTATTGGCTAACTAGGTACAGTACTATCTGTTTGGAGAGATGAAGTGGTTTATGGTTGCCATTCAAGATCAGGTCAGTTTATTTACACTAAATACTATAAAAAAAACATCCTGAAGGATGCATCACTAACAAATGACTTGCAGAAAATGCCACATTCTGCCAGAAACAATACAACATAACCTCTGGTTGCAAGCTTTTAGCACAGACTATTTACATGGTATATTATATTTGCTATTTGATTGTGTGCAAGCTCTTAGGCATACAGATTATTAAACACCCAGGTACTATACTACAAATATGCTCCACAAGCAGTTTTAGAAAATGACAAAATATAGTAGAACAGAACCATAACATAAAATTCATCACAATAGACCTAACATAACTCATTGAAAAATGCAGTAAGATCACTTATATAACATTTTCTTGCCAAATACTCATAACACGAGAAATACTCCCTGAAATAGAGTATGAATTAAATCTGAATCTCTAAGAAATAAGACAGATGTGGAGGATGGATAAGATATTTATTGTACTTGCTGTACTGGTAAGCTATACCACACACATGCTATACAAAAGTCTAGAAACAGTAAACCTTGCTTTCTGTAGTGCTGTAGATGGCACTACAGAAAGCAGCAATATTGAATACACGTCACATTGTTAGGAAGTTTCTAGATGTTGACACATACACCAACAACATAGTTTAATGTCATATAGTCATTTGAGTAGTTATGCTTTGACTTTAGTCTGTCATACCACTCGGCACCCTTATCAGCCAAGCACAACATATTATAATAAAAAAATATATAAATCAATATTAGTAATTGCAAAGTTATACATTTATTGATTAAATACAATTCCAACTAACTACAACCATAAATAAGTATAAAAATATACCGGCAAAAATTTCTTACATTGTTTCTCGAACTTCAGCACCACCGGTCTGGCCTGCTGCGCGGCAAACATTACGGACTTTTCGGCAGTGGACAGAGTGTAATTGAACAACTTGTTGTGATCCTTTATTTTTCCATAAGTGTTACTGGCATAATCCCAGGCAAAGTTCACCACCGGGAGCTGCGTGACCCGGTTGATGAATTCGCTGTTCAGTTTATTTTCCTCCATCTCTTGGTTAGCTTTTTCCATTCTTTGTTGGGTACGATACATCAAACTAAAAAAGAAAAAAAATATGTATTTTTTCCCTCAAGTCTAAGAATAAAAAAAATGTTTTAATCTAGAAAACAAGGAAAGTGTGGATGATAGAAATAAATTTGGATCAGAGGTCAACCATCTTGGAACAATTACAAACACATGAAGAACCATTCATTTTGAGAAATGGACAAGAATGGCAGCAAATACTCTGATTCTAATCACAAAAAGGAATAATTTTTATTACAACATTCGTTTTTGAATCAAATACGGCCAAATTTTAACTATCCGGTCAACAAAATCACAGTTCAGTTTATTTTCCTCCCCTTGGCATCACCTCTAAACTATACCAAAACAAAATTGGACATTCAAACAATAGGAATAACTAACTAAAAAATAAAAAGACTTAACCAAGCAAAATAGAACAGTCTTTTTACGGAAAAAGTACCTAAAGATGTAAAAATTCGGGACTAACAGTTGTCAATTAAAAAGTGTCTAGGAGTATTAAAACAACACTAAATGCACGCCCAGAAAAAATTCCCAACGGCTTTTTTCGAATTTGAGTCACCGTCGGGAACCTTAACTATTTAGGAACACGCATCTAGAACGCGGGTTCTCAAACTTATTTCGACCACCGCCCACTTTGAGATTAAAAAAACTCTAGTGCCCCCATATTTTTTAACTTACCTTTTTACATTTCCATCTGTTGCAAATCTTAAGAACAGTTATTGCAAATATAATGATTAAACACGCATTATTATATGGATAGGATAGATAGGATGTGACCCATATCCTATTTCTGAGATCAGTGTTTCAATGAGAAGAAATAAAAAACTCAATATTTAAATCACAGTCTTCTCCTGCCCCCCCGAAAGCCTCCAGTGCCCACAAGGGGCATTATCACCCAGTTTGAGAAAGGACAATGTAGAACGCGCAACCGAGCAGAATGAAGCCAGTCGGTAACATTCTTCGCTCCATTTTCTCAAATACTATAAAATCCGAACTCCCGCGACCGCGTCGTTCCCCGTCTCCGACAAATTTTTCGGACAGGACCGGCAGATCCGACAAAGCCCTCCGGTCTTAATTTTACCTTCGCATCCGATATCATTTTTCTAAATACACACGCCAGGACAGTTTATTATCGGTATTTAGCGAGGAGCGACGAGCGTTTTTCTAACCGACCTAGACCCACGCGCCAGTGGCGTAGCAAACGTAACCGACGCCCCTTCTCCCCTCCGGAAACAAATCTCGTCCGTCTCGGAGACCGTTCGGCGCCCTTCCGCCAGTGGCTCCCGGGGCACGACGGAACCCCTCGGCCCCCTGGCTACACTAATGCCATAGGCATACTTAGATTTCCAACCAGTGCAAATAACCAAAGTACCAAACCGAAATAATATAAAAATTTTGGGACGTTTGGATATACCGGGACCGATAAAAATATAAAGTTCCCACTGTAGTTTTTGTTTTAAAAATTCCACAACTTTGAAAAATAAAAAATTATTATTCATTTACAAATCCCGCATAATCCATCTACGGAAGTACAAATTGATTAAAATTTGTCCCTTAATAAACTGGAAAGAAGTACAGCTCAGGAAATTTATTAATATTTTATAAAATCAAATTGTTTCGTTACATAAAGTTATTAAAATGAAAAACGATCATTTTATTTAAAGCAGGTTTATCGTTTTCTAATACGCTTCTTTTCCTTCTATAAACGATCCGAATTATCTCGAACGAAAAGTCTGGCGGGCGTTTTCGGAGAGGGAAAGTGGCCGAACGTCTCCGAACGTACGGAAGAGGGCGACGGTCCGTCCGGGAGAACTTTCTATTTAGCCGGCGTCGGGCGGTAAAGACGGGGAGACGAGCGCACCGGGAAGCCGGCATTAATTACCGGGGGTCCGAGCCCCACCGGCGTTTTATAATTCCCAGAAATTTTGGAACATTTTAAGGTTTTGGAAATTCAAAATAGTATTTACTTTTTCCATTAACTTTAAAAAATAATTAACTCCCATAGCGTAAAAAAGCACTTTAGAACTCTGACGGGAAAATAATTTCCACAATACGAAAATTTTCCTTTTTAACAACGTACTTTTTGGCCTTAGTCCCTAATGGAAATTTTCCGGCCCGATAAAAATTCGTTCCCCGGTGGCAAATCAATTTTGTCTTTTTGGATGGGAAAAGTCCGTTAATCCGTGCCTAGACTAAAAATTACATTACGGCACGGATTTCTTTCGATCGGAGCTAAGGCCAATTCTGTAATCTAAAATATTTCTACCTTACGGGTTTTGCCACGCCCGGCGGTCGTGCCGTTTAACGGGAATTTCCCCAACTACGTACTAACGATTACTAATCGATAGGTTTTATTTTGCGCGCCGCGACGGTAGAACGGAGGTTTAATCGCCGGCTGGTGGAATTTTTTTAACGAATCACGGGGAAACCCTCCGTCCGGATTTCCACTTTATCCGTCTTCGGCGGACTAAAAATTTGCGCATTTTAAGGACCGACTAAAAATTTACGCCCGACCGTTCGAACGTTGGCCATTTGGCTTTTGCATTTAAAGAAACGGGGGAAGGTGGAAGTAAAAGAATCCCCGAAGGTCTCCTCCGCAGTTATTTCAGCCCCGGGATCTAATCCCGACGATTTCCCAATCTCGGGGGAAAGGGGACTCCGAAGTCCGGAGGTCGGGAAGAGACTAAAAATAAAAGCCGAGCGGCGGAGGGAGCCGGAGGTCGACGCGTAAACAAACGTCCGTCCGGCAGATAACTGGGTTCAAATTCCTGTTTTGTAAATGTGTCGATTTCGTGACCGGACGGGACGAAGAACTCGGTTCGGTCTTTCGTCCTCCGCAATTTTTCTCGTGGCAAGCTCGACGCCGGAGAAGGAAAACAACGGGTGGAGGGGGCGTTCCCGCCGCGTTAAAATGCCCGAGAGGCACGGGCGACTTCCGTAACTTCGGTCGTTCCGCCGGTCGGGCGTCGACCCGCCTCTCCTCACCGGTTCGACCTTTATCTTTTCGTACGAAGAACCGAAACCAGAGTTGGAACGGCGACGGGACGGGAGCCACCGGTCGTCCCGTCCCGCCCAAACGAAAATACGTAATCCGCCTCCGTTGTCTCCCGTTAAAAGCGGACTCCGCACCGTCGGGTTATCCCGCGGAGAAGTGTCCGTCCGGCCATCCCCGATAAGTTTTAATCCGGACGTAAACGCCCACTCGGAGATTTGCATCCGTCACCAAGATGGCGGCCACCCGACTATGCGCCGGAAAAGAAAGGAAAATATTGCGGGGTGGCACCGAGTATCTTTCCCGCTTCGGCCGATAAATCGAGAAGAAAGAATACCCAAAAGGACGATAGAAAACTCACCTCGGCTGACGTAATATCTACGATCCGAATACCGCTAGAAGTGTGACTCTGGCCTGTCGACTCGGCACTTTTATACCCGCTAGAGTTCGCCCCGACCGTCGGGAACGACCGATGACGTCACGGAAAGCGCGGTCGGCCGTTGGACCCGGAGAAAAAGCCTCGCCTCCCGGCGATAAAGATCGAACTTTGAATCCAGGTACGGCGCCTGGTAGCGTTATCCGGGAAGATACGGCGAATCCGCCGTAACCTTCGAAAAATAGAAAGCGTAACGCCCTTCGCAAAAACAAAGTCCGGCCGTTTCCGTCTCTGTTTTTCTTCCCGGCTCCGAAAGTGAATTACAGTAGAGCCTCGATTATCCGACCCCCTATCAACCGACCCGTCGGTTAACCGACCGTCCTAGTCGGCAAATTTCAAATTTCCGCTATTGATGTGGCGTGACAATATTTGGCTATGTCTTGGCTACTTTAATATTATTTTTGTGTGTTTTAGCTGGCAACACTGGATCGACCATGAAAGGGAGCCAGTATTTAAACGAGGCTTAACTTTTTAATTTTTAACGATACAATAGCGACGATTATTAATTTAAAAAATTTTTGTNATCCTTGCAGATTAAATATGGATAAATAAAATATCATAAATAAGGAAAAAGTATAAATATAATACAGTAATACCCCAAACTTACGCGATAGGTGGGACCGAGCGATGACCACGTAAGTTGAATTCCTGTAAGTCAGGGTATAATTTCACAATTTGTGTAAAAGCCAAGTGGGATGTATGTAAGCTAATAAATGTTCTTGTTAATCTTATCTCGTCTTTTGATTTGTTCACGGTTACAAGAAATCATCACATAGTCTCTCAAGTCTCCGTAGATATAACAAACACAGAAATAAATAACATAAAATAAATTGTAGCTATGTGTCGATTCCGCGCGACACATCCGAACATGTAAGCTGAACAATAGTGTGCGCGGGGGAGTGAGTAATCAAGAGCTGTGTGGTGCTCAAACAAAAGATGAATCGACGAGATTTGAAAATCGCATAACTCTGGGTTCGCGTAAGTCGAGGTATTACTGTATATAATATCACCTTAGTATTATTAATTATTGTAAAATGACCTCCAAGTGGTAGATAATGCATCTGCATCTCTGTGGTTTATACAACCAGTTCTCAAGTGCACCTTGTATATTTCCAATTTCTCAAGCTGTTTCACTGTGTATCTATTCGTCGTCGTTTTGCTAATAACTGCCTGATCCCATTGGACATTGACATCCTGTTGTCTTGCATATGTCATTAGAACAGTGCTGTCAAGATTCTTATTGATTGTATACCTGTGTTCCTTGAGTCTTTGTTTTAAATTGCACATAGTTGCACCCACATAAACAAGGTCGGAATTGAATCGCTGGTCGTGTAAAGGCATCGAATAAACACCTGTCCTTGAATTCCAATCCTCCTTCATTTTATGATTTCTTAAAAGCCTGAAAACAGTGGGATTATGTCGGTATACAATATGAAGATTATTAGCCTTAGCAATGTAATTTAGCACCATTCTTTTTGTCTGGTCCACTCTAGGAGAATGCCGTGTTGTGGTTTGGAAGAATGTAATAAGCTTCTCTATTTCCCCCCTCTGGTATCCTCGTTGCTCAGCTTTAATATAATAATATATACATTAATAATAGATTTTTTCATACTTTTCGGTTATTCGCCCTTTCAATTATCCGACCAACCCCAGTCCCCAATTAGGTCGGATAATCGAGGCTCTACTGTATACTTTTCGGTGGCCGTTGCCTTTCGAAAAGAAACTATTTGATTCGCATTCTTGCCGGGACGGGCAAAAATAGGGCCCAACAACGTAAAAGCCTATTAATGCCTTCGTTTAATACGCGTCGACCGACGGTCGAGGAGGCAGCCTGCCGCTCCGGGGACCCGGAATCCAATCCGGTCGGGTGGGAAATTTTGGGGGTGACCCGACCGGATACGTCGGCCCGTCGCGGGACCGGCCCGACCCGTAATGGGCCGCCTACGAGAGGCCCTCTTAGTGCCCGCCAGGCGGAAAGATTATAAAAACAGTACATTTACGTACGTATCGAGTAAACGGTCGATGGAACAAACACGTTATTTGTTGAGTTGGTCTTCAGCCAAATTAATCGAAGACGTAAGATACGCGTTATCGCCAGAAACAATGGAAAAATTACACGGTCGGAACCGAGATAAGATACGTGGAACGCTCGGATTAAAAACTCGACGTCCCGGTGGCTCCATAAATACCCTCAGTTTTCTTTAAGTAAAATCCGTAACTTTGCCTAAGCTACGGCAGACAATAGGCTCATTAAATATACCAAAGTCGGGTGATGGCGATTGGGGATGGAACAATCTCGGTCGAAGATTTTAAGAGGAAAATTAAGTGGACGCGTGGGAGGTCGTTCGGAAAGGACCAGTCGTTTTAGTGGAATATTCGGTTTTGTTCCGATTTTTGAAAATCCAAAATCTTAGCTCCGATTTGTGTAATTATAAAATGCCTTTGTTTACTATTTTCTAACAAATGGACAATACGGCCATTTAGAAAATGTTCGTTCCGCCTCCTAAGAATGGTAAATTCGAACGGAGGAAGAAACGGCACGAAATGTAGCTCGGGGAATAGTTTCGTCCGATTTAAGAAGCGTATTACGCCGACGAAAACCGACGATAATACCGGTATCGAGCCGTGGGAGAGGCGAAATGGCCGACGGACGAATCGAAACATTTTAATACAGTATAATAAAATTAGATCTCGGTTTACGGAGAACCGCCACTTCCTTAAAATAAATTTTTAGCCGAATATCCGAGTGGCCGGGACCGTATTAACGAATCAAAATTGCCAACCACCGCCACTTAAACCAAATAATTTCGTCCGAAAAAATGCCGGGTTCGATGCTAGGAAAAGACCCGGCCGTTAAATTTCGTATGGTGTTACATTATTAAAAATACCACTTTTCCGTTCTATTAAGTTTTCTAAAATACACGGGTAAATAATTTGTACTAATAAATTGTTAATGACGGCCGTCTACCTTTCTCGTTTCGGTATGGAGAAATTACGGTCGGCCCGCGTACCACATAAATCCGTTATCGGTCCCGTTATTTCGTTCGTACGTGGCACGAATCCTTTACTAATTTGACCGTGGCATCGATTGTTTGTACCGTATTTTGACTTTATGTCTCCTTATGTGGGAGAAATGAATTAAAACGGGAACTGGTCCCTCCCTCCTACTATTTTTAGTTTTGTTAAATAAATACAAATGAATTTATTTAATGCGCCGTAGTGCTAAGCCTAAAAAAGTCGCGCAGAAGTGAAAGGTAAACACGCAAGCTCCGAATATCTTTTCCACAGCCAGGAAACTGCCGAAATAATAACCGCCGTCTTAAGGCGGAGTTGGCCGATGGAGAGACGGGTCGGATTAAAAGGCCTTTTTAGTGTCCGCCGGGTGCAAAGACTCGGATTACTTTGATTCTCCAATCACCGGCCCAACTTCGTTTACGGATTCCCCGCGGCCGGGTGGTCCGGCCCGGGATACGAGTTAAGATATTATTCTTAATAATCCGTCCGGTGGCGCCAGATTTAATTTGGGGGGACGACGAGTCGAACGGATAAATAAAAATTAATGCCAATTTTAAAAAATTTCCACCTTATGTGACCGCCAAGTCATAATACATGTAAATTGTTACGGTAATAATTTCCGGTATATATCTCGTGTAAACACATTGAAGCTCATTACTTTATATTCCCGTGTTCAATTTTAAACACGTATAAACTGGTTATGCTATTGCGGTACCAGTGATGCAATATTGTTGCACTAATAAAGAGATTGTGCGTGTTACTGGCCAGGTTGAGGCCAAAGTTTTCATCTCTAAAACGTGAACGTCGAGCGCAGCTAATGTTACCGGAAAGACGGATTTCCACCGATTATCGATTCTCCCTAATTAATAATCTGCATTCCGATAGAATTATTACGTTTATCTTTCGGACGTAAGCAAAAACATCGATTTCGCCGATAAAGAAATAGCCAGTTTCGTAATTACCTTATCGCGTTTTTATACCGAAACGATATTCGTCGTTTCTAATTACGAAAACGTACGCTACGCATTCTACCGTTCGACCTTTTCCATTTATCTACAATTTGTTTGTCAGGTTAGGTTACGGCAACGCAACACTCGGGCGATCTGCCTAGGAGGACGTCTTCCGGGAAGGAAACTGGCCGCTATTTAGGCGTTACGGACGTGGAGAAAACCCGGAAAACTCCACGTGGCCGGCCCGTCCGAGCCAGGCGCTAACCCACGACCGAACGCCTAGTGTTCGGGGTACGAAGACCGCTCGACCACTAGTGGATCCGTTTATCTACGGATAGCGAAGACCAGGTGACGACTCCGCATAAAGCATAAACCGTTCTTTTCTAAGCGTAAATAAGCTACAAAATTCATTTCCGTTAGGTGTAATGCGGCGGTGGCGCCGGTCATTTTCGGCCGCTAAAAAATACTTATTGCTGCCAGTTCGAGAACAATTAATTAAGATAATTCTCCGTCGGTTTTGAAACGTCTTAGAAAACGATCGTTCCGCACAGGCCAAGGATACGGCTTTAACTACTAGAATATACGACCGAACTCCTAAGCCTATCTTTTTTTGCCCGTGTGTGGGGCCGCCTTTCTTCTCCCCGCCGGATTTCTTTAAAATACGGTTTTCCAATAAAAAAAAAAAAAAGGAATTGTTTAATAACCATACACCGACGTCGGCATTGACGTTTCGTCTCCGGTAAAGAGGATAAGAAGTATTGCCAATAGCGCTTTGGCTTAAAGCCGATGGTGTGCCGATTCGAGTGAAAATCTCTCCGGGAACAGAGCCCCGTCTTACGTCGACGATCAAATTACCAGACGTAGCCAAATTTACGGGTTACTTTTCCAAATTATTTTATGCGGTTATTACTAAACGTACATTTATTAATGTATCCCTTTTCTCCGAAAGGCGTTAAGTCGCGTCATTCTCTTCTACCGGGATCGTCCGCGGATTACGTAATGCCATATTTATACTTATCGACTACCGTCTCCCAGAACGTTCCGTAATGCCGCGGCGCACGCCCACCCCAAAGTTACGCGTAACGCGTAGGCCATCCTTCGTCGACTCCGTTAAGAACGTTACGTTGCTTTTTTAATCATACGTATAACTGGCGGAGACTGACGTAAACGCTAAGGTTCTCTATTCGCTACTTCGGAAGCAAAAACAAATTGGCTACGTATTTTTATCAAACGACATCGCCGATTTAAAGACCGCAGCGTTACGTAACGTTTTTATAAACACGTCGGCCCGTCGGAACTAAGGCGCTAGATAACCCAGGTATGCTCATACGCTTCCGTCACGTGTGCAGCCATATTGGTCCTTTTGACGTCATATTCCAAGATTTTTAAATTTAGCTGTATTTTATAACTAGTTGCACTAAATTTTGGCAAAGTTTATCATTTCGACCTTGCAAAATCTTAAGATACAGTTGAATTTATGATTATTTTCGTGTCTCTTCTATTGAACTTCTACGAGAGTCGTCTGATTTTTCTAAGGACCAACATGGCGGATGAGCATACCTGGGTTATCTAGCGCCTTAGTCGGAACCATCGGCCGCGTCCGCGTTACGTTATTTACGGACGGCGCCACTAACCGCCATTAAGAAATTCCCCGAGTTACGACTAATCTCGGCAAAATTTCATTATTCGTCGATCAAATTAACTTAAATAAATAATCTAAATTTATTACGTCGCTCCCCCGTAGCAAAATAATTAAGAATAACGTCGTCGACCGGCGTCGTATTTCGGTAATATTAAAAAATTGGCGTAAATAGGATGGGCGCTTCCCCCGGTTACCACGGTTATTTTTAACGAAATTGCCGAGCTGTTCGTTCTGTTTGTCCAAACTATCTGGACTCTCGATAGAGATAATCTGATCTCAAACAATTCGAAAAACACTCGAAACGCAGAAAAGCTATAAATAAGTTGTTTTGAAAAGTCTATTCGGCATTCAATAGCAAACATTCGTTTATTTCTCTTAATTTTTTCCGTGTTAGTAGTAAACGATTTAAATAAAATGCAACGCGCTTAGTGTTGCCACCTTTTCAAAATCGCTGACCCGGACGGGAGGTCGGGGCCGCGTTCGGTAACGCGGAACACCTAAGTTAGAATTCTGGGTAGTTTAATGGGCGGAGCTAAGAATACATAAAAGAAGCTAGAGGTGGGAGGAGTCGAACAGTAGTTAGAAACGAGTTCAACATTGCAGCGTAACTAGATTTAGCAAGGATTCTGCGTTACCGAACACGGCCCAGGTTTGGTCGAACAGAAGTTCCCGACGCATGCGCAATGCGAAGAATAACGTGCACGCAAATCAGTTACAGCGTACAGATAATTTAGCTCTATTTCAGACGCTTACGACCGTACATAAAAAAAGGATCGACGGGTTGCCGCGCGCGCCACACGGCGGCGTAAACAGAATCGCGGACGAGTTTCGGCGAGTGCGAGTTCTTTCGCCGTTAAAATAGCGTAAATTTGTAAAAATATTTGCAAGAACTTTGTTTCGTCGTAATTTCACAATTTCTACGACATTCCCGGACAAAATTAATAGTTCACCCGGACAGCGAGTCAATTCCCGGACTGTCCGGGTGAAAACCGGACGCGTGGTAACGCTACACGCGCATATCCGGGAACGATATAAAAGACTCGACTAACGTCCAGTTTCGAGATGTCTTAATTTATGCGTAATAATAATTAATTAGGAAACGCGGTCTTAAGGAAAATAAAAAATCCCTTTATTTTCTTGGCCAATCGAACATCGGAGCAGCGGTCGGTCGAGCGGAAACAGTTTATAGAAATACCGCGACGCTCCAATGCCCCGAAAAAAATTAAAGGGTAACCGACTTTTTCGCAAAAAAAAGACCGCTTTAGTGCCTACGGGAAAGAAAAAGGTAGAGAAAAATACAAGGATGCGAGTAAAATTCGAACCCGGATGCCTCTCGGCGGGAGACGACGAGTAGAAACGGCAGAAAACGACTTTGACGCGGACTCGTTCGGCTCCGATAACGTTTCTTCTCGGACGCGGACGACGACATTTTTACTCGGTTAACCCGAACTAAAGGGCGTCGCTAAGAAAGACGCGGGCATAAAACATCGGAAGCGGCAGCCGAGATATTTGCCGTCGGTTCGTTCCGTTTTCCCTCTTGGTCTCGTGCCGGAGTTTGAAGACTCGGCGGAGTTCGACAAATGTAAACAAAGGGCGGAAGTCGGTCGTCGCTTTTGGCCTAAATGTCGAAATGTTGCGTCGTTCAGGTAATCTCCGTTACGTTGAAGTCGGTCCGGTTCGATGGTCGAATTCTTCCTCCGCCGTAAAGGTCGGAGTTCCGACATTTAACCGCTCGCCCGACGTCGATGCCGTTTTTCCCATCGAACGTCGTCGTTCTCGAATCCGATGTCTGTTATAACATTTCGTTTAATCGTATTTTCTAATTCCCGCCTGGATTATTTATGGTCGAAAATACTTCCTTTACCCACCCGCAGATGGCGCCACGCGGTCGGGACTCTTGGCCCCGGTTCAATTGGCGGAATTTTTAATAAGTCAACGAACGTCCGTTGTTCGCGCTTCGGCAGCCGTCCTAATGGGATTGTCGACTTGGCTCGTTACCGTACTTAGAAATGGGGGACGGGTGGGTTGTTTAATCGAAAAATGAAACTAAATAAGATTCGACGAGACTGTAATTCGAAGAAATGCTATCGGATGTTATATTTTTCCCGTCTCTGCATCCGTGACCTCTATTTCGGGTCGACGCCGCCGCGCCAGAGAACTACTTCCGTTTTAATGTACGAAGGAAAGAGAAATCCCAACCGTACGTTTCGAATAATTGCTAATTAGACATAGTGTTTCCGACGGTGATTTAAAAAAGAGTAATTCCGAAGTTCGATTTTTATAAGAATGTTTTCGTTTCCGGTTGTCGTAGCCTCGACGACCTTGGTTTTCGGCCGTCCGACTCGTTTAATTAAACGAATAACGCCGCTTACGTTACCGACAAAAAATTTGCAAGCTTTCCACCGTATAAAATTAAATTATAAGTTAATTTTCTACGCTTAATTAATTACGTCTAAAATATAAATCTCGGCGTATAAATCCGAGAAATAAACTTGGAACCGGATAAGCAAATTTTTGCAAAGATCGACCCCATAAATACTTTTAATTTTCTTTGTTCGTTTGCCTGGTCTTTGGAATAGGATAATGTGGAGTATGTCCTTGCTTTATTTCGACAAGATGTACGGTACCTACAAAACTGTTAGATTCCGTCAAACGTTTTGCCGAAAGGCATTAAAAAAACTATTTAAAAAGACTATTTAAAAAGACTGAGATTATATAATGCGGTAAAAACACAAATTATTCAGAATCGGCATTTTTCGCTGCGTTGCTTTTTAACTCGAATTGTCTGCGACTCACTTTTTTCTGCCCGTTGGAACTCTTAGTTAGAAAAGTTTTACTGTATTTACTGTTCTTTGACGGTCGGTGTTGCCAGACTAAACAATAAATCATCAATTGGGATTATCATTTCTATAAATTGGAAACAAAACTTTGAGATAATTTTGTACATATCTGATAAACTAACCAACAAATCAGAAATTTCTCTATGCCACTGCATAGTTGCCAATCACCAGCTTTTGGTGCTAACTAGCAGCATTTTGTATATTCTGTCAGTGGGTACGTTCGTAAAGTCGAACGAGTTAAACGAGAATGACGTCATCGTTATTCTTATTTAGTTAGACTTTTAGAACGATTCGTTTATAACTAAATGGCTGTTTCTAAAATCGAAGAAATGAATGTTGTTAGTGCAGCCTTATCCGAAATATTTTTCTTAAATTTCTTCGGGTGGACAGTTATTTCAATCATTTCATCTTTTAATTCACAATTTAAACACTCGAGTAGATTTAGAAACATCGATTTCGTCGGCCGCCATTTTCTTAACGAAGTGAACTAACTCTTTCCTTCGTGAACTTCGTTAGAGTTTCGTTCGAAACGTCATCACCGCAGAGCATGCGCACTGAGCGAGACTACTACTTTTCGAACGATTCGTTACTAACGCGTTTAACTCGTTCGACTTAACGAACGTACCC